TTCAGTAGGCTCGGTCTCGACGCGACGAGCGAGTTAATCACCCTCTCGTGTCCATGGAATGCTGCAGCAATTGGAGATTCGAAATGGATTATGGAGCATGGATGCAGATACGGAGAGACACGCAAACGGTTTGAAAATTATTCACGGAAAACAAAATCTGTTTAAACAAATCCGCTTTTAACGGCGTAAAAATTTTAAAAGATTTTACAGTAATAGAATCGCTCCCATTTAGGCGATATAAAGGTTTTGCTATCGATTATATCAAGATCAAATATTTAGGAAAAAATCGATATGCAAGAATGTTGAAAAGCGAAAGATTTTAAAACTATTCTAAAAAAAGGTGGAGAAGACAACCGGAAAGAATAAAAGATAAGTCAGAATTTGATCGGATGAAGAGAACAGGAATACCCTGGACCTTCTGATTTATCCGAAGATGGTATGTATCATCCAAATATATTTTTCGTACGGAATTTTAACTATTGAGCATCACAACTGACTCGATTTGACTTTTTCCACTGAAGGTAGTCGCGGCCGACCGATGCGACATTTTCCACTGAGAATTATTCCCGTTTTACAAAATTAGCTTAAAAAAATAAAATTTATACTTTACCTCACAATTTCTAATCATATTTCATATCTCACCTTTTCAAAAAAACGGAATATTCTTTTTTATTATATTCGTAAAAGTTAAAAATCGATTTTTTAAAGAAGAATACTCGATTATTCTCCCCGATTTTTATTTTATTCTTTTATGTAGTTTCTATGATATTTACGCAAGTTGTATCGCACAATTAATATTTGCATACGATAGTATGATGAATCAAGAGAGATTAACATATTATAAACATACACACACTTACCAGCAATGTGCAACGTGCTACGACCATTGTTGCTTCGTTCGTCTATGCAGTCGGGCATGTGCTTCAGTAATAAATCGACCACATTCTCATCACCGGCTCGACAAGCGATGAGTAACGGCGTCCAGCCGTCTTTATTGCGTAAACGTGCGTTAGCCTTAGCCATCAGGAGGGTAACGATGCACCGATATGCCGCGTGGCCGCTTTTCGTGCATGCGAGCATCAGAGGCGTCCAGTCGCCGCGCTTCAAAGCGTCCACCGACGCACCTTTAGGTATTGATATTTAACGTCAATAAGGTATGATATTTAAGGTCAATCAATTTTGCAATTCGGCATCATTTAAAGTAATTTAAAGTTTACAAGCAAAAAGCTCTCTCGGTGCAAGAATTAACATTTATCGGTTAAGTTTGCGGTATAATTCGATTTTCAGACGCATAATCTCAAGAACCAGGTACGCGTAATACACCTTTTGTATAATTTAATTGCGAATATTTCGGAAAAAATAGTCCAAATTTAAGTCAGGTACTAAGAACATAAGCACAATATTTTTGTGAAATTTGCATCCAGGTAAACAAGAAATGATAATGTATTATCATATGAATACATATGAATCGATATTGTTCAATTTTTTTTTTTAAAGATCGCTTATTTGGCTCATTTTTACGTTCGATTAATTGCTACAAAATACCAATCTTCAATTAATAAATTTTTCTGGGTGTATGGCTCATGAAGGAAAAGACACCATTTTCTAATAAATATTTCAAGACGTCCTCTTGTACGAATTGTGCAGCCTCGTGCGAAGGCCTCTTCATGTCCTTGTTGGTGACGTCGATTTTAAACGCTTGCATGTCAAATTGTTCGCACAGATACTTCACCACATTCATATTGCCAGCTCGTGCCGCCACGTGTAGCGCGGTGTCGCCAGAGTCCGAGTGACGGAAGTCGCACCAATCGTGTATGCCGTATCTTCCAACAAGAGTTTCCACTCTGTGAACGTCACCGCTTTGGCACGCACGCAAGAAGTTGCGCGATACACGAGCAGCGTCGGTCGTTGCTGCGTTTTGGGACATGATTCGAGAAACGCACGAATTATATTCAACTAGACGTAATCAGCGAACGCTCTTGAAAATTTTAGCGATTTTAATTGATAAAAGCAAGCAACGGCAAATACCTCTCGAGGCGTCGAGCAGCAGCGACCGACACGTGCTGCCGCCGGCTGACTTGGTTCACAAAGTTGTGTGACGACTCAGAGAGGAACCTGAGAGCGGCCAACATGAGATCTGTTTTTTATCGCTGAACTAGTGTACACTCAGGGAACATATGTATGCATTTAAAATAAAAATTATTCTAAATTTTCTCACGTCTTGCAATCCTAAGAGATATACACACATACATATTCAACCTGTTTTCTGTATTAATAGTCTCTTTGATATCTTCCGACATCTTTTTCCCATTATTCCATACCTGTTACTATCCATGCTTATTTCGAGCTATGTTTCATATTTCGGCCACAATATTCCTAAGAGAGCGCTAGTATATAGCGAAATTTCTTTAGTACGCTAAATCCCGTAAGGCCAACAGTCTTTATAGTATCTCGTCGGTGGCGGTAGCTATAACAGTCGGTATTATCGTCGCTCTTCAATTACCTCCGGACCCTTCGGGCCCCTTTGGTTGATACGAAAATTCACCCGGGCTGTCAATCTTTACCAGAGAGAAGAATGAGAGCGGCCACCGGCCGTATTTCGGGGGTACGGCTAAGCGCATTTTAGATACGCCATCTGACCAAAATGCGCCTAAACTATGTCCGCTAGGCGCACTTTCGCGGTGATAAAAGTAAAATGCGCCTAGGTTCGTGTCCGTACTACTTCCATTCAATGGATAGTAGGTTAGAAAAAGACAGACGACAGACAATCGTTCCGTCTTTGTCTCACTACTGAGCGGCGCGCGGCAGTAAGCACGAGGCGAGGTAGCGGCGATCTTATCGCTAAGCGAACATCTCGCCGCTTTTCTTTCATCTTTCACGCTCCAGAGACGTCAAAAGACGCGGTAGCGTCTCGTGTCAAGGGAACTAACTTCTAATATTAACGAATTATATTCCGGTTAAAATAATATAAATCGTATAATATATTCCGGTTAATATAATATAAGTCGTATAATATATTCCGGTTAATATAATATAAGTCGTGAAACTGGACCTAAGTAAGACTTACGTTTAAGCGAATGTTCTCTTGAAACTGAAAACATTAATAATAATAATAATGATAATTATATTTTTATTTATCATTTTTTCTATACTATCTAACTATCTATCTATCTATTTCTCTATATCTATCTATCCATCTATCTATTTATCTATCTATCCATCTATCTGTCTATCTATTTATCCATCTATATCTATCTCTATATCTATCTATCTATCTATTTATCCATCTATCTTTTTTCTTCCTATGTATCATTGCAACCTATCCTGTTCTATCCATATTTCTTGCAAATGCAAACAATGAATATTACATTAATTTTTATATTAAAATATATTTTTTATACTATAACATGCTGAATTAATAATTAATAAAATTCAACAGGTTATACTATAAAAACAAACACTTACGTAAAAAGATTATTATATTATTAAAAAGTTTGCATTTATTTTTTGACGGAGATTACCATTTTCTCGCGGTTTCCGTTGAGCAACAATATGCACGTTATCTATTCTTATCTATTCGTAAAATTAAATAATAAAGTCGTAATTGAAATATGATAATAAAACTAATTTCTTTTTTTACTAGACTAAATTTATTTTTGCTATGAAAAGAAAAATGTAACAATGGAATATCTTTTACAAAATAAATAACATTTCATTTAATTTTTAATTTAAATTTATTAGCATAAATAAATTATTCTGTCATATACTTTAATAACAAATCATTTTTAAAAGATGTATATATTGGTTAAGAGTGGATTTCTATTAACTTTTCGTCTCTCATTATAATTCTCTCTTCTTTATTTGGGCATTAATACTAAATATTCTTTATATACATATACACTATATATGTGTCATTTATTTATATATATATTATCATGTAATTAATATATTTAATCAAGCCATAAGAACACGAGAAGAGAGGAAGAGCGAGCAAGTGCGCGAGAGAGAGAAAGAACGAGCGAGAGAGAAAAAGAGCGAGGTATAGGAATAGCGAGAAAAATCTCGCGGCTCACGCAGTCAATAAGCTAGACGAGCGGGAAAGAAACAAATAATATGTCGACGCTCGTCTAGTCTCCCATATGCTACCTCGCGTGAAAAATAATTCCTCGCTTCGCACGTTCCCTCGACACGAGACGCTACCGCGTCTTTTGACGTCTCTGGAGCGTGAAAGATGAAAGAAAAGCGGCGAGATGTTCGCTTAGTGATAAGATCGCCGCTACCTCGCCTCGTGCTTACTGCCGCGCGCCGCTCAGTAGTGAGACAAAGACGGAACGATTGTCTGTCGTCTGTCTTTTTCTAACCTACTATCCATTGAATGGAAGTAGTACGGACACGAACCTAGGCGCATTTTACTTTTATCACCGCGAAAGTGTGCCTAGCGGATGTAGTTTAGGCGCATTTTGGTCAGATGGCGTATCTAAAATGCGCCTAGCCGTATCCCCCGAAATACGGCCGGTGGCCGCTCTCATTCTTCTCTCTGATATTACTTCGTCAGTGGCAGAGGTACCGAAGAGGTAAATATTTTTTCCACCAGACGGACTCGAAGCTTCCGGCCAAGAACTTCGGACTCGTTTAAAGTGAGGGTTTAATCGCGTTAAGGCCTGGTCTACAATACGTGTCGTAAGTTGTAAGCCATAAGAATTGGCGAATCAGTCGATTATTTTTGTAATAATCGACTGTGATTCGCCAATTCTTACAGCTTGCAACTTACGACACGTATTGTAGACCAGGCCTAAGCTGGAAATCGAACCGACGAACGAGAACAAATTTATTTCGCGTCCCGATCTTGAATTACCTCCAGGCCCCTCGGGGCCCCTTTGCCAATACGAAAATTTATCCAGGTCTAATACCCGTATTCATAGTCAGGCCTTATATTTGAGGTTTCCTTATATCCATCTTTAGATGCTGCACGGATTATTTTATTGGCTACAGACCATCTGAAGATAAACTTAAGGAAGCCTTAAATATAAGGCCTGACTATGAATACGGGTATAAGTCTTGAATCAGGTTTTCAGCCGAGATATGAACCAGCAGTTACAAGTTTTCGTAAAATTTAGCTGTAAAATTCAGACTTGAAACACAGTTTTCTGGTCTGTATAAAACTTAGCCGGGCCTCGAACCACTTTAAATGCGCTCCCTCGAGTAAGAGGTATAAAAGATACTGACCCGTTACGTATGAAAGGAGTGACGCAGGATGAAGAAGGTAGGGACCAACCGCGCACACATATATTCAGGCTCCATTATAAGGTGTAGGCATGTTCGAATTATCATACATATTGGCTAGCGAGATGCCGACACGGAGATACGCTGTCCGGTCCCGAAACGTTCGGTTATTTAAACAAACCCGAGCGATACGATCGCGGTCACACCCATTACTTTAACGCGTCTCGTACGGAGGAATTCTTTTCCAGCTGAGAGAACTCGCGCACCATGGCGAATCCTTTTCCTCGTGCCTGTCGTCTTCCGATACTCTCGCACATACGTGAATTATTTTTTGAAAGTTTATAAGATAAGAAAGTTTATAAGATGTACTTAAATAATTTTTCACTTACATATATATTTCCGTGACTATCGGTCGATCAAATTTTAACATTTGTTTCTGTTGATATCACTTTGGGAGTTTACCTAAATCATTGATACGCGCTTATATCAAATTTTAACGGAACTGCCTTGATGTATTAATATTTGCGAAAACTAATTTTATGAGCATTACGCAAAGAGTTATGTCATTCTTCAATTGACGTGCGACAGTGTCGGATGCGAAAAAAATCAATATTGTCGGATAATATGAAATCCAGGTGGCATTTTTAATTTACAAGAATATTTTATATGTGTACATCGAATACATCAACTTAAAGATAAAGATATTTTTCTTGCAAATATACCTATCACGTTTGACTTATCATATGCAACATCTGGTGTCCTTATCAAATATTCATTTTTATAGAAATTTTATACAGAAATTTATCTTAAGAAAAGCTTGAGTGAAAATTAAAAGTTACGAGAGATTTAAATATTTGTCTTACTGAATATTCGAATCTTTACGTTACATACGCTTATATATATGCATTTAAAAAGTGTACATGGTAATATTATATAAAGTAAAAATTGCATTACAGAGAGAAGTGATTATTTAAATCGTGTTTTTATTCGTCTCGATTTTGAACAATCGACAGTTAAACGCTGGATTGTCGTTTCATTGCTGCCGTAGTTAACACATGTGAGTTTTTCCGTTAACGTTGAAATCAGCCTCACTCGTCCTAAAATTTCGACGTCTCCGCGTCGGATCACTTTCGACGCTGTTCTCGTTCGATGAATATTACCGAAAACTGCCTGCTACATACGGCTTACCCATGGCTTACCCACGGCGGGGCGGGCTGCGCAACCTTGTGCCGCAGGGTGCACAAATGAAATGGTCCCAGGGGTGAAACTTCGCGAACGCAAGCGACAATTTCTCTGCGTGCACGCGTCGAAACGAAATTCATGTCGTGCGCGTACGGAAATTACACACACACACACATATATTCATATAAATATACATATATATACACACACACACACACACACACACATATACATATACGTATATGTGAATATGTATATGTCTGTGTAGGCGCACGAGCGCGAGCTTAACTCTCACACATGAATAATAAACGAGGCGCTAATGCTCGCCCCTTCGACACACCGCCTGTTTCTCTGTTCGTCTTAACTGAGTCGGCGTGTCCAAAAGCGCATAGTAATCAGACACCCGCAGTTACATCATTAATTCATACTCTCGTTTATGCTTCATCGCCTGTATCGATTGCCGGACTGTCGTATTCCCGAGTTTCTCCCAATGTGTGTATGTGTACGCATGTGTGTGATACGCGAGGAGCAAATTATTAATTACACGCTGAAAACCGAAGCAGAATCCGCGCGCAAGAGATAAACGCGAAAGTTGTTAATAAAACCGAAAGAGCTGACGCTTTAAATATGAGCTCGCGAGGAACGAGGTATGTGGAATAAATGTTCAAGTGAATTTCCA